TAGGCCTTTGAGAACCTCATACTTTGTGGCTAAAGGTTTGAAGTAGATTCAGTCCTTTTGTGTTATGGCTAATTAGACCTTTGATAACAGACTTGATTAACCTATTGCCGCCGTGGAAAATGAACAAAAAATGGGGGAAAAGCTGTGCCTATATTCTATATTTTTTGTGAAATGTCAAGAATTGATTATCAGTTTCAGACCTCAACAGTCTCAGTACTGCATGTGCTATACATGATATGAAGTCCATGTACTTTATACCCAGTGATAAGCCTACATTGAACACCTGTCTATATTGAACACTTTTAGCTGGTCCCATGAGTGTTCACTTTACACAGGTTCCACTGTACATACGTATATATATACATATACACATATATGTATATACACATACACACACACATATACACAAGTCCAGAATTGCCCGGACCACCCTGCGAGTGGTCCTGGACAAGTGGTTGCAAGTTATCGGGAACCGGTCGGATACCCCTTGTTTGCCACAGCCTTAAGACATTCTATATACGACAGTAAATCTATGTGGTAAATCATTAAACTTACCTGAAGAGGTTTCACACTATAACATCGTTTACAACTATCGTCTTTCGGTGAACTGTAGTTGGCAAATTGAGGGCTGATTCACTCTATATCACACTATGTCATGTCAGTCTTTCTTGCAGGTAAACCAATGGGCATGTTCACACTACGTACCCACGTCACATCACGACACTATCACGTCATGTCACGGATTCTTTCCAAGAGTATTTTAACGTAACGTGACGACGAAAACTCGTGACGTGACCTGCCGTTACCCATCTTAAACAAACAGCCAGTCTCCCGAAAATTAGTATTCTCCATTAACAAGTAGTTAAATTTGAAAGCTGACATTTGGATGTATTTTACCTTGTCATCTTCCAGTTCTCTGTCGAGAGTCCAGTGGTCACTTTCAACTTATCTTTTCCTCAGGGCTTTATGTAACCTTTTTTTTCATTTTTTTTTTTAAGTTGACTTGCTTCTCTTCACCAAACAGCAGTGTAATTATTGCCTCTCCTGAAGTCCCAGGATGACTTGAAGGATAAGCGGGAACTGGAAGATGATGTGCATGGAACGGTGACGTAATGGGATGTGAAGTGAAGGGAGGGATGATGTGCATACGTGGCGTGGTCGGCGGGACGGGGACGTGACGTGAAATGATGTGATAGTGTAGTGTGAATCAGCCCGAAAATATCGTTACAGTTGATGTGCTTTGCAATCTGATTCATAAGGAAAAAGATATGTGCGTTCATTAAAAAATACTTGTTATGTGTATAATACGTAGATATAACTACGCAGTCTATATGTATTACAACAAAATGTTGTAATACATACATTGTTGTTGATGGTACAAGATAGATTTATGTTCATCACAACGGAATAGATACTAAGTCATAGTCATTTTCTAGAATCGGTCCGCATCATAAATCCCACCGCAACGAATTTCATGGTGATGTCTAATGTGCGTCTAAAGTCGTTTTTTGTCTGCACTCGGCAACAAGACCGACGAAACAAGACCCGGTAAATGGGCGGGTATGAAGTGTCACCTGGAAAAGACGGGGTTAGATTATGCGGGACTTTTTGTCAGTGTTAGGGAGCCCCCCCCCCCCTAACCACCATCACCACCACAACCTAAAACGGCCTTATGGTGGGGGGAGGGGGGTGTACGCTGCAATTCCCCCGCCTGGAATGCAAGATTTCAACCAAATCTGATCGGCACATTTTATTAATCTGCTCATTACGCCGACTATTACTGCTATATTTGGGTAACACATATCGAAAGGGGTTTTAGAAATTTACCAAAAAGATATAAGTAATGTAATTTATAGTGTAAATAATCATCAAAAGTACTACTGTCACAAATAATATTTTTTTTTATCTTTATTGATCAACGAATAAGTTTCACCAGCACGTGGCTAAGTTGGCCCCGCCCACAAAATTCAAGTTAGACCAGACAACTGGTCAAGATGTTAGTCTTGCATGAACGGATAAAAATAATCTATTCACATGGTCAAACATGTTCATAAACAGCCAGTTGACCGATGCTTTTTTCATAAATGGATGATTGTGTAAATGAGCCATTTACCTTATACCAATGTTTTTTTTTTTTGTTGTTGTTTTTTTGTTTTTTTTATACACGTGATCCCTTCTTCAACATTCATAATCTAAAACATCATTATATTATAGGCTAAGAAAAACAAAAAAAAAGACATTCAGTAGTCTTTATTAAGGTTAATTTACCAGATTGTAATAGAATATGAAAAAATTTCCTTAGAGAATATTCTTACAATATTTTTTTCATATGAATACTTACTAACTCCTTGTAAATTAGTTTATAATACAAGGCTTTGCGACACCCCCCCCCCCTCCTTCGCTGACCCCGACCGGAAGGAAGGTAAAAATCGTTCGAGGGAGAGCAACCTTACTCTAGAATAAGAATTGAATTACTTTCAATTTAATGGCATGTAAAGAGGCGATACTGGTGTCATTCCCCAGCTTGCAATTGCATGCTAAGCCAGTTTGTGGTGTTATCAGGCCTTAGAACCACAAATGCCGGTAAACATTTACCGAAAGACCAGCCTAAATAAATAATTGAATAAATAATTAAATAAATATACGTGTGTGTGTGTGTGTGTGTGTGTGTGTGTGCGTGTGTGTGTCTGTGTGTGTGTGTGTGTGTGCGTGTGTGTGTCTGTGTGTTTGTCTGTGTGTGTGTGGGTGTGTGCGTGTGTGTGTCTGTGTGTTTGTGTGTGTGTGTGTGTGTGTGTTTGTCTGTGTGTGTGTGTGTCTGTGTGTTTATCTGTGTGTGTGTGTGTGTCTGTGTGTTTGTCTGTGTGTGTGTGTGTGTGTGTGTGTGTGTGTGTGTGTGTGTGTGTGTGTGTGTGTCTGTGTGTTCGTCTGTGTGTGTGTGTGTGTGTGTCTGTGTGTTTGTTTGTGTGTGTGTGTGTCTGTGTGTTTGTGTGTGTGTGTGTGTGTCTGTGTGTTTGTGTGTGTGTGTGTGTGTGTGTGTATGTGTGTGTGTGTGTCTATGTGTTTGTCTGTGTGTGTGTGTATGTGTATGTGCGTGTGTCTATGTGTTTGCCTGTGTGTGTGTGTGTGTGTCTGTGTATGTATGCACATAAATGATTTTTCAAACAATGGTGAATATGAAAACGAGTTTCAAATACCATGCACTTTTAAAGCATTTGGTAGAAATCCACAATGTAGTCATTCAATCGCTTAACAGAATACATACAATGCCCATTATGCTATAGAATCAGACTACAATTTCTTCAACGATACTATAAAACCCATGCGTAGATAACGTCATACTCATATAATATAGTTTATCCTGTCATCTTTAAGAGAAAACGTGAGTTCTCTCTGTATACAAAAAACGATTAGTATTGTAAGGGGAACTTTATTCTTTCCCAACAAAGAATTATGAATGAGAGACGACAAATTGCAATCAGAGTACAGTGTAAAAAATGTATTAATAATTAGCATAATAAGGAATATGTTGAACTAAGTTGCCATCAAGCACACACAAAAAAGGGGGGAGTAAATAAAATGATAGATAGATAAAATGAAAGGGAAAGAAGGGAAAGAGAGAGAGAGAGAGAGAGAGAGAGAGAGAGAGAGAGAGAGAGAGAGAGAGAGAGAGAGAGAGAGAGAGAGAGAGAGAGAGAGAGAGAGAGAGAGAGAGAAGAAAGAAAGAGAGAGAGGAAGGGAGGGAGAAATACAAATTCTTTACTAATTTAGTTAGTTGAAAGAAATATAGTTATATCTACAAATAATAATAACACAAGCACAAGTACTAATAACAGTAAGACAAACAAAAACAAAAACAAAAGTAATGACAAAACAAACTTACTCTAAATAAGGACAAGACACACCTTGAAATAAAGTCATTTACATTTACAACATATAAAGTGTTGATAATGGTGTCATCTAACTGCTTGCAATTGCATCACGGTAATTTGTGGTGCATTCAGGCCTTGAATTGCACACTTGAAACCACACGTTCTTGGAAAACACTGACTAGGATTCGTTATTTTAGATTAAATGCATGAAAAAGAGAGAGGTGGGGATAGAGAGAGTGAGAGAAAGAGTGAAGGGGGGAGAGAAAAAAAAAGAATAAGAGAAACACATTCCTTAATGCCTTATCAAACACGTATGCACACACAGGCACACACACACACACACACATCTATATCTATCTATCTATCTATATTTGTAAAATATACATATATATACATATATGCATGTACGTATATATATATATATATATATATATATATATATATATATATATATATACATATATATATATATATATATATATATATATATATATATATATATATATACATATATATATGCACATACATGCATACATACATACATACATACATACATATGTACGTACCTACGTACGTATACACATACATGCATACATACATACATACATACTTACGTACACAGTACACATATATTTGTCGACTATATCTAAAAAATACTGCTATTTTGTGGAAGCGACATTCACTTTTTTCTTAGGTGGAGCAAATGAAGGCAAACCGACCAATTATTCACTTAAGAACATTTCATAGGTTTATGGCTTAAAACATTGGAATGAGAAACCTCTTCGGTATTTGAATGTAATTTAGCATTTACTATGTCAAGGTGGTAGTTAGTTTTTTTTCAAATATGTAAATTAGTAATTCCATTTAGTTTATATATTTAATTCCGTAGAAAAAAATTATATTCAAGATCCTTATCTGCTACATCATTGCGTTCGAAAGCGTGTATTATTAAAGGAATAAAATCTCTTATTTCCATCCTTATCAACATTTTATGGATCCCTATAGTCAAATATAACTTATGAAATATCCTACTATTATTACAATCCATAATATTCCCATCAGTTTGCGAGCTAAAACAAGAAAAATAACAGTAAATAAACATTTTCTCCTGCTGTGACCCTTCGAACACCAGGTGAAGGTAAACAAACCGTCAGGGAAGAAAGTGAAACTCGCCTTCCTCTTCCTCTTAATTGTGATAAATCTTGCTTAATTCCTCTTAAATGTAAGTGAAATGTAGCTTAAGGGACGAGTAAGAGTTATGTCTTTGTAATTTAAGTTTTAATAAGGATTGTGGGTTTATCTTTATAGGGAAATAAGGCGAAGAAATGAAGCTTATTTTCTTGGGTGATTATATGCCGTATTGTGGGAGTTTCCTTGTTTATGTTTATGTTGTTCTTGTTTAACGCTTTTTTCAGGATTAATATTTCTGTGTTCTCCTCGGGCTTTCGTTTCCAGTAAGTTCAGGCTAAGAATATTTTGATTTTTTTTCCTATTCTTAACTGCGTGGAACTTTTAAGGTTTTTACTGATGTTTTCTGACCTTGAAGAAGCACACGTATCTGTATCTTTATCATTATCAAGGTTTTGCGTCTAAAGAGGTTTGAGTTCTTTTATTTGTGTGAAAATAACCATAAAAAACGTTTTTTTTTTATTTCTGTTTAACATATGTTGTTGTTTGAAATACTAGTAATAAGTAGGATATACCATATGTGCCAGGTATGTATTATATTTGTTGAAAAACTTATTTTATTTGTTATCATCGTTTTCTGTGTATCATTATAGCCTTGACAAGAAATACACTTGCGTTAATATAATTTCCCGGTATTCGGTTGAAAAGTCTATATTGTAGAATTATTCTCCATTGTAATGTGTGTACTTTCCCAAACACTAAGTGTATTTTAGAATACACATAATACATATTATATGCTATATGCTCAGCATAATCTAGGTGTACAGTCCCCTCCATTTCCATATTTACCACTCAGCATTACCAATGGGGAAGTTTTAACTCTTGTATCTGAAACACATAATAACATGAACAGTTATCAGTTTCTGATACAAGTACTGAAACTGATGATTCACTAATTGGAATCTCTATGTGGAAATGGAGCAACCTAGACATAATTATTCATGAACATGAAATATTTGTAGATTATCTTATTTGATATATTTTAGGGTATTTCCCTTCAGGTGCAGGAAGGAAATTATCCTGCAGCTTAGTGACCATATATCCGTACGGATGCGCCCTCAGTGATCCAGTCAGACATGAGGCTGACTTTATATTGTGATAATTAGTATAATATTAATTTAATGTGATTATGAATGATATTGCTATTAGTAATAATGATGATAAGATAAGACAATAAATTGTAGTAATAAATTTTGTAAACAATTTTAATGATTTTGATATTGATAACAGTAATAATGGCAATGATTGAAAGAAATCTTTATTGAATTCTTAGTGTCATTAATGATACACACACACACACACGCACACACACACACACACACACACACACACACACACACACACACACACACACACACACACACACACACACACACACACACACACACACACAAACATACACATATGTAAAGCTTGTGGCAGAGATTCACTGTATAATGAGACAGAACATCAACTTTTACATTTTATTCTGTTTATTTTCACATCTTGTTTGTTCATTCATTTTATTATTATTATTTTTCTTTTACAGACTGTAGTAACAATGAAACCTTCAGGTGCTATTAGATATCCAGTGCAAGGTAATGTGGCTTGTCATGTGATTTAAAATAATGTTTATTTTATTTTTTTATATTTTGTTTTTTCCAGTAGCTACCAAAATTATTTTATTATATCTAAGGCATTGGTTTTCTTCATTTATTCACATTCACTTTCTCTCACTCTCTCATTCTCATATTAACTTTCATTCCCACTCCCACTCTCTCTCTCTCTCTCTCTCTCTCTCTCTCTCTCTCTCTCTCTCTCTCTCTCTCTCTCTCTCTCTCTCTCTCTCTCTCTCTCTCTCACTCTCTCTCTCACTCTCTCTCTCTCTCTCTCTCTCTCTCTCTCTTTCTCCTTCTCTCTTGCAACAAAGTCATGTATAAATAACACATTTCTAAACAAAGCTCATTCTCCACTCTCCAGGTGTGACCCTCCATAGAGTTGCTGCCGGTAAGAGGTCCCAGGGAGATGGCCAGGAGCAGGTGGATACTCCGTCGTCTCTCGCCTGTGAAACGGGGAGTTCTATCAGTGCAGAGCCAGGGAAGCAGAAACCCACACCACACAATGCCGAGGAGAAGGCTAAAACAGAGGGAAAGCCCCTAGACCGGAAGACCAAGTCAGAACCCAAGTTGAGTCTAGGGGCTAAGAAAGAGGGTGGAGGACCCAGGAAGCTGGGATCCGAGAAACACCTGCCTGAGGTGGCCGACATTGCCCATAAGCTGACGAAGGTGTCCGTGATGTCCACCCCAGACACCCACCTACTTAACACTCCCCCAAAGGACATGCAATCCAAGCGCATGATTCCAGTACTCCCCAGCTCTCCGAGTGGAGGAGTCGCCGCAGCACTTTCCGCTGCCGCCCGAGAAGGATCCACAAGCCTCTACACTCAAAAGCGCAAGGAACCCAAGTTTGTGCCATATGAGCCCTACAAAGGCTGCGTGAAGCCGATTTTCACCAAAAAGAAGACAAAAGTTGTGCAGCAAGTAGCAGTGGGGAAGTCTGTTCCAGTGGTGTCAGAGGATAAAGTCAGCAACCCTAAAACAGAACCAGTAGATGATGAACAGAAAACCACAGAGAAGGTCAGTAAATATTTACTTTATCTTGAGGCTTTTTTTCATGAATCTGTGTAATATATCCACTCATAGTTTTATTAACTATTCTTCATTTATGTACACTAATGTCCTAGAATATGAGGTCTTTCTACATGGGATTTGGGATAAAGTGTTTTATTTAATTTTTATATTGAGCTCTCTACATAAAGGGAAAATAGTAATAATGATAACTTTATATAACCTCAGTTCATTCCTTTCCTTCCTCCTCTTTCCTTTCACCCTTCTCTTTCTCCTCCACCTCTTTCTCTTCCTATTCCTTTCCCATTCCACGCAAAGGGAATACACTTACACAAGAGAAAAGGGAGAAAGTCCAATTCACGAAATCACTCTCACGCCTTGCAGCTAAACATTATGGTCAAGGACTTCGAGCGCGAGAGAGCGTCCTGGGAGGAACAGACCAAGGTGCTCATCAAGGAGAAGAAGAGCATGGAGGAGCAACTTAGCCAGATGAAGAAGGACAAGACTAATTTGGAGAACCAGTTGAAGATTCAGTCTCAGGTACCTATCCCTCCACCTCCCCCCCTCCCCTCCCCTCCCCTCCCTGTCCCTACTTAGTGAAAAGTGCTGATTATATGAGATAGATCTTGATATATGGTAATGATAGAATATAATCATGGGTGACGTTTGGTAGCTAATGAACAATTATATCTTTTGCCTTAAAAGTCAGGTCTGTTAGGGTTTTCCTGCAAAATTATTGTGGTTATATGGTAAAAGATAAGAAAATGTGAATGAAAGCATAACCATCACCTTTTATTCAAATTCTACCATTAAATTATATAAAAAATAGGTAAAAGAAGTTCATCTTCTTAGAGTAAGCAAGAAAGCATATAGCCCTTTGAAGCTTAAACCTATCATCTCCACAAACATTCTCTTTTATTTAAAAAAAAAAAAAAAAAAAGAGAGAGAAAAAGTCCAATATGATCAACCCATTTTCTTGGAATTCATATTTCAATGTCTCAAATATCATACTAACAAAAGCAATATTTTAGAGTTAAAAAAAAAAGCATCAATTTTACACAACCTCCAACCCACTCATCCTCATCCTTCCCAACAGGTCAATACAGAACTTAAGAAACTCTTAGTGGCCTCTGTGGGAGAAGATGTCCAGGGCCAGGTGCAGGTCCTCACCGAAGACAAGGCGCGGATGGCCACCATGATCCGGCGGTACTCGGAGAGGGTTGACAGGGATTACGAGGAGAAGGAACGGATGGAGATTCAGTGCGACGTTTGGAGGTCAAAGTTCCTCGGGAGCAGGTGAGGCTTGGGGGGAGGAGGATGGGGGTGAAGCAGGTGGAAAACTGTGATGTTCGGAGAGCTGGTTGTTCTGAATGTAAGGTGGAATATATTTTTTGTGTTTTTTTTTTGTGTTTCTTTTTTTTCCCTTTTTTCTCTTTATACTTCTTTTCATTCATGTTTTCATTCTTCTCTTCTTTCTTGTAGTTGCCTCCTCTTACTCATGCTCTTCCTCAATTTTCCCCTATTTTCTCCTTTTCCTCCTTTCCTTCCTCCCGTAACCCCTCCTCCTCTTCCTCATTTTTCTTTTAATAATCTTTTACTGCCCGTTTTCTTCCTTCCAATATATTTAATGAAAAATTTACCACCACTTTCAACACAAATATGTTAAGGACACATTTACCCAAGACCTCAAACAACAAGATTGCAGAGTCATAATCATAGAGCCTAAAGAACTCTCTCTCTCTCTGTCTCGTTATAGCATGTTGGTAGACGAGTTGGCCGGGTGGAAGGCTGCTCTCATGCGACACATCGACGAGGCGGAGGAAGCCCTTCACGTGATGATGGACGAACACGACATGGCGAGGCAACACGTTCTGAACATGTATAGGCAAGTTTTGGCTTGGTGATGCTATTTTTTATATTATATTATGTAATGATTTTTGTTATTGCTTTTGTTGTTGTTGTTAGTTGGTTTGATTCCTGTTTCCACTCTTTTTATTATGGGTACTAGATTCATTTTTTTCAGTTTGGAAACATACCATAGCTGAATAATTATTTAATCTTAATGAAACAACTTGAATTGAAGTTGCCCACTCTTCGCCCTCCCCAGGATGAACAAGCAACTTCGCGATGCATTCGACCCCCTTGCAGCACAGTCTGGCGGTGTTGTGTCACTCACCTCGGCCGACCTCGTGACACTGGCTGTGGATGGGGACGTGCTTGCAGAGACGGTTCGGGATCGGCTGCTCGGCGACCTAGGGAGGGCTGTGGGCTGTGGGCTCTCAGTGGAAGGCCTTGAGACACAGACTCCTGGCGAGAAGATGGCACGGCAGGTAATAGCAAACCTTGGGTCTGATTTGGTTTCCTGTTAGATATTGAATGGATTATTATTTATTTAGGGGATTTGCATATTTTTTATTCATTTATTTATTTGGTTTGTTTTTAATTATTTTAGGTGAGAGAGCGAGCTTGTGTGTGTGTGTGTGTGTGTGTGTGTGTGTGTGTGTGTGTAAACGCTATATGTGCTTTATTTGTATGTATCTGTTTGTCTGTTCTTATTTGTTTTTTTATCTATTTCCTTGGGGTTCATGATTTTGAGTTATGACAGTGTAGGGTTTTTGTATCTATATTAATCCTTCTTTTATTTACAGTTATCTAAACGTCATTGCTTAATATGAAGAAGAAAAAAGAAAAAAAAAATGGTTCCACAAGGTAGTTCATTCATTCCAAAAATCTCCTGGGTTCTATATTTGTCATTTTCCCTTTCTTTCTCTTTCTTTTTTTTTTTCTTTAAGCCATATCATTTTCAATATTTCAGGCTTGTGGGAAGAAAATCAAGAAACCATTTGTGAGTAGCAAGGAATTCTCATTTTTCTTATCCCAAGGAATCTTAAATACCGTTTGCCCTTTTAGGATGAGATGCTTTCACAGTGTGCCGTAGAGGGAGGGTAGCTGACTTGAACCCCTCTGTTTTTTATGATGGTTGATGCTTCTGCCTCTAAAACGCGAATGTTTCTTTGCGCTTCTTCTCTCTTTTAAAAGTGTATTGGTATTGCCGATAGTTACGACCGTGTCGGTAAAGATCTGGAATGTAACGATTACATAAACCCATTGCAGCAGCTTGAGGAATGTCTCTAAATTTGCTTAGTGATGCTGGTTGCGAGATGATCTCTCGTGGGGGGGAAGAAGCACATACACCCCCCTTCCCCCATTTCCCTTCTCTCCTCTCACCTCTCCCTTTCCTTCTCTTCTCTAGTTGAGAGAGAATGAGTTACAAAAGAAAGAACAAGAGACACCGATAGACTGAGACATGGAGGAACATCTAGACAGGGAAATACACTTAGATAGAGAGGTACACCGAGATAGAAAGGTATGCCGAGGTAGCATGAAGAAGTAGACCAAGACAGAGAGTTAGCATGAGGTATGTGAGATACAACAGGACAGAGATGCACGGGGATAGAAAGGTACACATGTTAGAGAGGAACACCAAGACAGAGAAGTACACTGAGACAGAGAAAGAGGGAGAAGATGAAATTAGAGAGGAAATGGGTGAGAGAGAGAGATGGGAGAAAAGAGTAAGGCTGCCGTTGGGCATCATAGTGGCTGTCGCTAATATATTTTGAGAGGCTGTAGGAATAGAGATGAGGATGCGCTGTATATTTTTTTTCTTTCTTCTTTTGTAGTTGCGTAAATATTATCTCGGCTTCTGTGCATCGTGGTTGATATCTTGAAAATGCTGTTGATGAAATGCACTTAATACACTGGGCCATGCGTAAGAGTATGTTTTGCATAGCCAACTGACTTGGAGAGGTGGTATCTAAAACAGACAGATGGTTGGTGAGAAAATGAGGTGTAAATCCTTCAGGAAGCATTTGAGGGATGAATGGTATCCTGGTACATGAACCATGTGGATTACTATTTGCAATGTGACTCTCATTACAGATCTCAAACTTTTGTGTACAGTTGAATCCTGTTAAAAGTTCTTAGAATTCTCTAGCCTCTAAGGAGCTGTATTTTAGGCTTTCACTCTTAAGCTTTCTCTTACAGATAATCAGTAATGGAAGGGAGTGGAGCATTTCACATAGCTAAATAATTCATGTAATGGTCTTTGTAAATACTAAACTTGGCAAGGGATTTTTGTCATCATGATTACACTGTAATTATGTGGTCTTTTTCATTTCATCTTCCTCTTCTTTTCTTATTTTTTCCTTATATACTCTTACTTCTTATTCCTCTCTGCACTATTTTCCTACTTTTTCATTCAGTCCCTTATGACAGACATGGAAGAAATTTTTGAAAAGTAAAGTTTTCCTCTGTGTATAATAATATTGTAACAGTTATTTATAAATGTCATATCTCTTTGCTTTATGTTATATGTTGGATAAATGCAATAGATTAATCATGTAGTCAATATGGTGTAAACTAACTACCTGTTGCAAAATGAACTTAATGTCAGGTATATGAGATCATATTTGAACTCAATACTTCATATCTACCTAGCTGTTGCAGATGTTTAAAAGTTCAGTGTATAATTTCACACACTCATTGATCTTAGAGATTTTCCATGTTCAGTATATCACTGTAAAAATGAAAGTATCTCTGGCATACATACACATAAGAAACAAAACAGAAGCTGATGAATAAAGAGCTTATTCCATCATGCCAAAGAAGAAGATAGCTGAAAATAGGTTTTCCAATGTTCAATCATCTACATCAGACTTTGATTGTTTACGATTGAAAGGCGAAGGGTGATGTTTAGCACCCTAGGATTTTCTAGTGTGTTAGTTGCCATATATTATAGGTATCTCGTACTTGACTTTTAGTTTTTTTTTTCCAATTG